GTATGTGTATATGTATATGTATATGTCTATGTATATGTATATGTATGCGTATATATATATATAGATATTGATTGAGTAGCATGCACATGTCTTACACACTAGACTGGTATTACATACATACATACATATACATACTAGTCTGTAATTGCAACTATACAAGAAGCACCCATAAAATATAACCCTCATTCCTAAGACATACTCTGCATATGTGTGTATATATATAATATGTGTGTGTTTATGTTACCGAACATCAAGATGCAGAAACCGGGATCATGTTGCCGAGAGGTGCTTGTAGTTCCAGCTTCGGGTCCCAGCTTACTTTAGGGCTGTTTGTCGTTATGTGTGCATGTGTATGATACATACATATATATATATATGTACATGTACTAAACTACATGTATATATATATATGACTGCTAATATAATATTTAGATGCAAAGGATATGAAGACGGACACATACATACATAATATATATATATATGTACATGTATGTATATCTCTCTCTCTCTCTTTGCTAGATATCATATTCGATTTCCCCGGGTTCCGCATAGTCTGGATAACAGCTCCTGCGTGATTACATTAGCCCAAAGAGGCAAGGAGAGCCTGCTCCCGTGTCCGATGAGGAGCCAGAGACTGGCATGCTTCGAATCTTTTGCACAAAGCGTTTATTCGGAGTTGAGGGGTTTAGGGGTTCCGACATTCAAGGGTTTAGGGGCTCGAGTTCACTGCTGGGTGTATACAACCCCTAGAAGGCTTCGTGGTTATGGGGCTCACACCTTTGGGGCCCAAATCTTGTCAATCTAAGTAAATAAATATAGCTCTGTCGACATACAGCATCTGTTGATCTAGACTACTACTCCAGTAGACTGTAGACGTGACATGAGCGTTAAGCATCAATCTGTAGACAACACTATGTGTACATAGATGGACCGAAAGGTTTAGAGTAACTACATGCAAAGTGCAGACAGGTCATGCAGCTGAAAGCTGCCAATTAGACAGATAACACTGGTCTGGCGCAAATAAGGATCGAGGGAGTGGATGGTTGTAAAGCATCGGCCCCCCATCTTGTTCCCCCTTGAAGAAAATCTTAGCCACTTTGCACCCACAACCTCGGAACCGAAGAGACCTTGCCCTCCTAGGCCCAAGTCCCTGAGACCCCAATCTGAAAGACCTTTTGAAATTTCTGAACAAAAGCCTTGCAGAAGGACCCCTCCCCCTGAAAGCCCAAACCCTCCATGTGACTAGACCCCCTACTATCAAGAGAGACTTGACGGTCATGGTAGACATGGACTTCTGCAAGATCCAAGGTTAAAGACACAACGTCCATATGTTGCTGTGGCTGCTTGGCATCAGACCTGGGGCAGCTGCGTACAAATATGAATGCTTCTAGAGAGAAGTATTCTAATGTAAAATACATGTATGAGCAGGTAGGTGCCTAAATTTGTAGATGTATTTACATGTGTATCCGTCGTCATGTATGTGTGTCTGTCTGTGCGTCTGTCTCTGTCTCTCTGTCTGTCTGTGTATATCTATATATATATATATGTATGTATGTATGTATGTATGTATGTCTGACCTATATATAGATATATACATGATATATATATATATACACATATATACTTATGTAATATATATATATATGCATATACATATGTAGAGAGAGAGACACATTTTCCGTACATATATATATATACATACATATATATATATGTGTGCTTCTTCGACAATGTGTATTAGGTATCCGGCATGTATGTTTGTATGTATGAATAGGAGATATATGTGTATATATATACCTATACATATCTATTTTATTATATACTATGTAGATCAGATGTCTATGCATGTGCTACATGTGCACTCACTATTTGCTGAGGGCAGTGGGGCTGTCAATTTTGGGCTCACCTACCAAGCCAAAGCATGGCACTGGTTGCACAGGTACACCTGTGATCGGATTGCAAGTATAGTGCAGGATTTGGCCAGGCTCTCCTGGATTTCAGACTGGCACATGTATGATTATGTACCTGTGCATGAGACGCCTGTATGTGGTGACAGCACTGCATGCATGCCATGGTCTTAAACATATATATATATATGTTGGTACATGTACACACATGTATGTATGGACGTATGTATACATGTATGTAGATGCAAAAGTATGTGTCTGTATGCACATGTATGCCTGCTTTCACATTTTCATAAATAAATAAATAAATATATATATATATACAGATAAATCCATCAGTAGCTCTATCTCTATCTCTATCTACATCAGTATCTCTCTCTCTCCATCTCTATCAGTATGACTATCAATCTGTCTATCCGTCTATCCATCTATATCCAGCTATATGTATACATGTTTCTGTGTGTGTATCAGAGAGACTACAAGTGTGCACCCTTACTAGGAACCACATACTATGTATGAACATACGTACGAAGCCTTCCTTTCTAAGGTATTTACACACGTAAGTTTGCATAATTTATATAGGGACTGTATCTGTACATAGTTGCAACCCTAGACACGCTATGCCCTGGAACACTACCCTCGATCAGCTTCACTGAGCCTCTGACTTTGCAGACTGCGCGAGAAGCGCATGTATCTCGCATGCGCTGCCTTCTCCTCCTCCTTCTTTTTGAGCGCCTGCTCCACACCTGCTGTCACAGCAGGCTCCTCAGCGATTGCTTTGGCCACCTGGCCCGAAGCTTGCGGCTCCTCAGGCGCCTTTGCAAGTGCCACTGGCACAGCCTTCACTTGCACCGTGTCCCCTTTCATCACTCGAGTGATCGCTTCCAGCTCAGTCGTCCCCAATCTCTGCAGATTGTCCAGCACCGACTGACGCAGCTGCTCCGGGGTCGGTGGCGCCTGGATTTTTGCCAAACCAGGCTGCTTGGGATCAGCTTCTGCCGATTCTTCGGGCTCCTGCTTCTCTTGCACTCCACCCTTTTTCCCCTTCTTGGCAAGGGCGGCAAACCATTGGGAAGGCTGCTGCTGCTCGGGCTGCGTTCGGGTCTGCTTCGGACAGGCACAGAACACTCGGAGGGGGCAGACTGGCTGGGAGTCGGGGCCTCGTCCTCGCTCTCAAGCTCCGGCACAGGCTTCTTGCTGTCCTTCGCCGGCACAGGCTTCTTGCTGTCCTTCGCCGGCACAGGCTTCTTGCTGTCCTTCGCTGGCACAGGCTTCTTGCTCTCCTCCGGCACAGGCTTCTTGCTCTCCTCCGGCACAGGCTTCTTGCTCTCCTCCGGCACAGGCTTCTCGCTCTCCTTCTCCGGCTGAGGCTTCTGGGACTTCTGGCAACCTCCAAGCTTCTTGTTCTTGCTCTTCCGCACAGCCTTGGTTGCGTGCTTCCGTGCTTTCTTGTGAGACTTCTTCACCTTTGACTTGGAGGCTGCTGCCTTCTTCTGAGACTTCTTTGCCTTTGACTTGGCTGCTGTTGCCTTCAGCTTCTGAGCTCCCACAGCCAGGTCTTGCTTGCCACTGCAACGGTGAGAGGGTACGGCAGGTGCTGCTTTGGCAGGGGCAGGCGAAGGCAGGGGTGGGCTTGCAGTCTTTGACAAAGACCGAGCCAAGCTTGCAGAGCTGGGCAAGGAGGGAAGGGTTGCAGCGGTGCCTGAGCGCCGAATGCGCTCTGGGGGTGTCGACACAGTCGCAGGAGGAGGTGCACTGATGGCTCGGGGCCGAGCCTGCTTTAGCATCTCCAGACGCTTCACCGCATCATCATTCCTTTCTTTCGGTCCTCGGATAGAAGTGTGGCAGTGGTCGTGGAAATACACTAGTAGTAGGAGCAGTAGCAGTCCCAGTAGCAGCAGTAGTAGTAGTGGTAGTAGTACTAGTAGTAGTCCTCGTAGTAGTACAACTACTAGCGAGTACTATCAGTACTATTAATACTAATACTAGTACTACTAGTAGTACATGCACAAGTACGTACTAGTACTAGTACTAGCATTGGTACAAGCTGTAGCTGTGGTACTAGTAGTAGTAGTAGTAGTAGTAGTAGCAGTAGCAGTAGCAGTAGCAGTAGCAGTAGCAGTAGCAGTAGTAGCAGTAGTGGCAGTAGTAGCAATAGTAGTAGCTGTCGTCGTCGTAGTAGTAGTAGTACTACGTAGTAGTAGTAGCAGCAGTACTAGTACTGGTAGTAGTAATACTAGTTGTAGCAGTAGTAGTAGTAGTAGTAGTAGTAGTGTAGTAGTAGTAGTAGTAGTAGCAGTAGTAGTCGTAGTAGTAGTAGTAGTAGTAGTAGTAGTAGTACATAGTAGTAGTACTAGTAGTAGTAGTAGTAGTAGTAGTAGTAGTACGTAGTAGTAGTAGTAGTAGTAGTAGAAGTAGTAGTAGTGATAATGGTACTGGTAATGGTAGTAATAATAGTACTTGCAGGTACACCAGCAATGGTACGAGGGTAGATACTTAGACATATACATATATATATATATATCATATACATGCCTGCAAAAATGTATGCCTGTATGCATGCATGTGCACGTGTATGTATATATATATACACACATATAGTTACA